AGGGCAGAAGTTTCTTAAGCAGCAGCTGTTAGAGTAGCAATGACAGTGAGGACTCATCAGCCACTTTTCCTATGTGACTGCTGACCCTCACAGCAAAGTCAGCCCAGTTCCCCAGCCAAGGCAACCGACTCAGGTTAAGTGACAGCCAACATCCCCATACCACCCCATCCATGGGACAGAGCAAAAAGGGTCCAAAGAACTAGATTCTAACCAAATGACCTCCACCATCAGTCACCCACTCTGATTTGAGTTTCCTGCATCTGTGGGAAAGAGACTTGGAAGCCAGTATCTGTCATAGGCTCCAGGAAGTTCAGGGACCCTGTTCTGCCCTGACCACGGGACCTCCAGACATCTGGGATAGCCACACTTACTCTTCTCCCAAGCACCAGGAAAAAGAGCCTCGTTATCAACTTCCAGGGGAAGAAAAAAATAAAGTTACATATTTTACAAATATTTGTCCCTGTTTTGGGGCTGTTGTTGGCTTTGGCCTCCAGTTGGAGAGGGTCCTCTAGGTTAGGCGATTGGGAGGCTTCCCTGGCCTCAGGATTGAGGCCAAGGAGGCCAAGGGGCAGGAGGGGAGCCAGCTTGGCTGTGGGCCAGGACCCCTCTGGAGACTTGGGCTTGTTTCTTAATCTTTTCCTTCCTTTGTTGACCAGAGCAGGCTGCCAGGAGAGGCAGGGGAAGCAGTGGGAGGGGCCGAGGAGATGGAGGAATCCCAACACTGATGATTTCGTTAGACTCCTATTTATGGGAGCACACTACACGTACACACTGGGCCAGGAGATTTACAAGGATTACCTGAGAGAAGCCTCTGCCCTTCCACATGAGGAAGGCCTGCTATCCCCATTTTACTGAGGGGGAAACTGAGGTGCAGAGAGGATGACCGAGTGACTAAAGACCGCAGGCCTTGCCAGTGGCAGGGCTGGCAGGGAACCCAGGCTGCTGACTCCTGGGAGTGGGAGCCACTGGATCTGACTGCAGTAGGGGTGAGAAGGGGAAGAGTGGGGAGATGGGGAAGGAGCAGGGCAGGAAGGGCCCTGGGGGTCTCTAGCAGCAGAGCAGGCAGCTGTGGAGATGCAGGAAGGAGAGGGGAGCCAATGGCCAAAGCCCTGCATGGAGCAGCCCGCTTCCTTGGTCAGCCTCGCCCCCCACCACTGCCTGCCTCTTCCTATCTACCAGCCACGGCTTCTCCACCTGAGCATGCTGCTCCATACCATTCTCGCCTAGAGAGCTATGTGCATCCTTCAAGTGCCAGCTTAGCGCTCTGTCCCAACCCCCCATGACTACAGAGTCAACCGCCAGCTCCCCTGGGCTCACTGAGCACCTGAGGAGCAGGAATCCTGTCTGAGTCACCTTTGTGTCCCGGAACCTAGCCCCAGCCAGTGCGCACCAATGTTTACTGTCTTGTTGTGCATTATCACTGAATCTTTGAGTCAGGCAAAACAGGTTTTCTTATCCTCACTCACAAGACAAGGAAAAGGACGGGGAGAGGGAGGGAGGGACTTCTGAGGGGACGCAGACATTCATTGACACAGCTGATAGGCCCCGAACCCAGGGCTTCTCACAGACACTGAGGGTCCCCAACCCAAAGTGTTCTCATCCCTGCCAGACCGACCAGGGTCACCACAGGGAGCCCCCAAGATAGGAGTGGGAGCCTGGATCCAGTGTCCAGCTCAGACATAGCTGCTCCTGGGGCCATTGAAGGTGACAAGGAGAAAATGAGTGGTTCTTTCCCCTCAACCCAGCTCTGGCTCCTCCTCTAGATGCTTCCCTCACCCAAGGTTCCAGGGGTCATTTACCCCTGGCCCTAGGATCCCGTCCTCACCTTGATGCTCTCCTGCCTGCCGGCTATGGTCCACTCTCACATCACCCTGGCTCTGCCTCCCAAACAGGCCTCGCACCTTCCCACGGCTCCATTACTCCACAGCACAGTCACAGGGATTCCTCACCTGGACAGCAGCCCTGTCTCTGCCCTGCCCTGCTTAATATCTAATGCCCACCCACCACGACCCACGGGTCAAGTTCCCTTAACTCTCCTGAGCCGCTCTCTCCAGTTGCGTTCCCCCAAGTGCAGGCTCTGGCTCTGGACCTTAGCATACACAATTCCTTCCTCTACGAATGTCTTTTCTCCTGGTCTCAGCCTAAGAACACCTATTCTCACTTTAGTGCATCAATCAAAGGTAGAGTCGGTTCCTGTCCTTCTTTCCAACTAGACTCTCAGCTCCCCAGGGGGAAGGAAGGAAAAGGATACACAGAATCATCTCCAGACCCTATGCCCACACAAGACTTGGCACAAAGTAGGCATGAGTAAAAGCAGATGAATTTCCTCAGGAGTCTAAGGCAGGAAGATCACAAATTAGATGCCAGCCTAAGCAACTTAGCAAGACGCTGCCTCAAAATAAAAAGTAGGAAAGGGCTGGGAATGTGACTCAATAGTAGAACACTCCTGGGTTCAATCCCTAATTTAAAAAAAAAAAAAAAAAAAAAACACCTTTCAGAACCTGTGAACCTGTCAGGTGTCAGACCATATTGCTATGGGGATTGAACTTGGGGGCCCTTTACCACTGAGCCACAACCCCAGCCCTTTTTGTTTTGTTTGTTTTACTAAATTGCTAAGGCTGGCCTTGAACTTGCAATGCTCCTATCTCAGCCTCCAGAACCTCTGGGATTATAGGCATGCCCCACAATACCCAGCTCCAAGAGGAACATAATATTGTTGTTGTTTGGTATCAGGGATTGAACTAAGGGCACTCAAATACTGAGCCACATCCCCAGCCCTATTTTGAATTTCATTTAGAGACAGGGCCTCACTGAGTTGCCCAGCGGCTCGCCATTGCTGAGGCTGGCTTTGAACTTGAGATCCTCCTATTTCAGACTCCCAAGCTGCTGGTTTTACAGGCATGCACCACTGTGCCTGGCACCAAGAGGAACATCTTTATAATCCCAGAATAATGCTCATTAGTACCATTGATTAGGTACTCACCATGGGCCTCATTATTTAATCCTAATAAGAACCCTGGGATGGAGAAAGGTTCTTTTATTATCCTTGATTTATAGGTAAGAAAACTGAGGCCCTTAGAGTCTACATATCTATCTTAGGTCCCACAATGAGGATTCAAAGCCAGGTCTTGGGGCCGGGGCTATAGCTCAGTGGCTAAGCACTTTCCTAGCATGCACTAGGTCTTGGGTTTGATCACTAGAACTGTGAACAAAAAGAAAATAAGACCAATTCATATGACTTTCAGCCACTCTCCTGTCCAGCCTTCTCCTGCTTTTCTATTATCTCCCTTCTTCAAAACTCTTAAAGCACCAGGGCTAGGGAGGGGATCAGTGTGGTGTGAGTGCACATGTGTGAATTTCTTCACCCAACAAACATTGCAACAGCTCCCAGGGCCTTGCACTGGACAATGGAGATGGACAGCGAGGACTTAGAGGTACTCCTGCCTCCTTGGGGGAGATAACAGAGGTTCACACTAAGAATTTGGGCCTTGAGGTCAACAGGCTTGTGTTTGAGTCCCTCACCACCACCAATAACCGTGACTCTGAGTAACTCACGTGACTTACCCAGTGCCAGTTTCTTCACTCATAAAGTGAGGATGAAGATGCCTAGCTCAGAAGGCCACTGGGAAGAAGAGGTGAGGCAGTGCATCTAAAATAGCATGTGACAACTAGCCCAGCATATAGGAAACATCAACAGATGGCCTGTGTGTGATGACAGGAGCCTCTCAGGACCCCGAGGCCTAGGCAGACGTAACCCTCCAGGGTCATCCCTGCATCCTCCTCAGCCAGAGCCAAATACTAATATGGGTAATAATGCCAACTGCCTCTGTTCTAAGTAAACAATCTTTAGGGGAAGTGGCCTTCACTAACCCTATTGGACAGGTGAGGCCACCTAGCAGAGCAGGTTGATGACTGAACCAAGTCACACAGCACAAAAGTGGCTGAGCTGGAACCTCCGCCCAGCCACAGTCACACCAGGCACAGCACGGCCTGTGTCACAGGGCCCGGTTGGCCCACGAGACGTTCAAAATCTGACACCTGGATTCCAGGTGGGAACTTAAAATGGGAGAAAGGAGAAAAAAAAATGGACACTTCACTTAGTTTAATCCCCTCCCCAAATAAGCCCAAGGCTAGAGGAAACCATCAGTTATCAAGTGGGAGGGCTGGGGATGTGGCTCAGTAGTAGAGCACTTGCCTAGCATACATAAGACCCTGGGTTCCATCCCCAGTCTGGGGAGGAGTGGGCCCCTGTGCTGGGCACTTTTCATCGGCTCCTTCCTACACCCATGCAGTAAAAGTGCTGTGTATGAATGTCACAGATGTGGTCTCTAAGGCACAGAGAAGTTCACAGGCTCCCCCAAGGTCACACAGTTAGGAAAGTGTCAGTACCAGGAAGGCAAAAATCCCTCCTCCCCACTCCCACCTTCCCCCAGGCTCTCCCAGCTGCCCAACTCTTCTCATGGGTGCTAAAGAATCTGCCAATCCTTCCCCAGGAGCTCCAGTTACCTAGGTCCCTCTCTCTACTGGCGGATGCCTATATGGTACTTGGTCCCACACTCAGTCCAGACGTTCACTGAGCCCCTATGATGTGTGGCATAAAATTAACCATCTAATGCAACACAAAGCCACATTGACCAATGCATAGTAGATGCTCAACAAATATCTTTGTTCATTCAAAGCATTCCTCATGGGGCTGGTAGGTATTAATGTGCTCATTTTTTAGACATAAAATTGAGAAGCAAAGAGCTACCGTTGGTAAGTGGCAGTATAAAGATTCTACTGCAGGCCAGTCAAACCCCAAAGACCTTTAAATGTATCATATGATCCCAAAGTCACTATCCAGGAAGTCAGGCAGCAGGAAAAATCTCAGCCCTATTTGTGGAAGGATCCTACTTCACAGAGTGCCTTCTCTGAACAGTCCACCCAACGCCCTGAGCTTCTTACACCTCCCAGTGGTCTCAGAGCCACCAGGCATGCATTAGAATGGAACCAGTACTCACCCAGACAGAAGCAGCCATTGGAGTCACGCAGCCAGTCGGAGAGAGGACGGGGAGCCATCACCGCCACGGCACATGGAGGTAAAAGACAGCAGTGAGAAACACAGCCAAGCAACAGATGAGCTCTCTGGGGCCCCTCGTCAGCTGGGGCCTGAGTGGGGAGAAAACCCTGCCCGCCCTCTGCCAGTCGGGGCTCTGCGGGGGTAGACAACCTCCAGTCAGCAATAATCTGATAATCCATCCTGAGCTCACCAGGCCTCCCAGAGCCCAGCCCACCCACCAGAGGCTGCGGAATCCCTGTGGACAAACATTCACTGAGCACCTGCTGTATGCCAACAGAAGGACTCATTTTGGAGAAGACGGACACCATCCCTGCCCTTAAGGCCTACAATGCAGGGACCAGGCAATCCTATAAATAGTTACCAAATTACAACTGTGGTGAGTGCTTCAAGGAGTCTTAAGAACCTGGGATCAAATCCTGGCCTTATCATTTATGGCTCTACCATTTGTAACCTTGGGCTTATTTGTTAACTTCTCCACATCTCATTTACTCATCTGTAAAATGGAGATGGATTATTATTTGTCTCACAGCGCTGGTGTGACGATTGCATGAATTCACATATTAAAAACCTTGTGAACAACGCTTGGCACACAGGAAGCTGTTCCTAAGGGGGCTGTAGGCATGGGCGAGGCCACCACCTGCATCACAAGGTTGCTCCAAGGACCAAATAAGACAATGAGAGGTGAAGCCTGAGCACAAGGTCACTGCTCAGTGAAGATGGTGGGACATTCTCTAGCATAATCCCTCAAGAAAGCATCTCAGCAGAGGGGCTTTGGAGATGTCCCCTGCTATACACATACACCCAAAATTGCCATTATGTACTAAAAAAATAACTAGAAACCACACTCTTCCCCTGATTCTACAAATGCCCATTTTTGACCTTCATAGTAACCCAAGGTACGACAAAGGTGCAGTTATTGCTATTCCCATTTTACAGGTGAGGACAGTGAGGCCAAGGGACCCCTCTCTGTGGGCCCTTGGGGGTATCATTTCCAAGCCCACATAAGTGGTCAAGCCAAGATCCCAGCTCACATCTGCCTGGAATTTGTTCTTCGTATTCTCCCTTGATGTTTCCCTTGGGTGTCTCCACAACTAGCCCCACAGAGGTTAGAATCCCTCTAACTTCAGTCCCTTCATCTGAAATAGCTGTCAAGCAGCCAGCTCAGAAGGATCCATGCTGTTCCTGACCCAAACTCTTCCTCCACAGACTCAGTCATCGTCACCCTGACCCTTCTTCTTCCTCTTTACCTCAGCCACTAACCTGTGGATCAAGGAATATCTGTACTCACTTAAATCCAAGTTTTACAGATGGGGAAACTGAGGCCCAAAGTCAACCACATACCAAAGATGCCTTTCATAGCTCAACTCTTGTACCTGAACAGTAGTTGGGTGGGGTTGGCACTCTGGGGAAAATTCCAGTGGACCCTGACCTACAGGTTGTGCCCTGTACCCCTCTTCCCCTGTGCTGGGTCCAGGGGGCACCCAGTGCAAGTGGCACAGCTTGTTCCCCGCTCCCCAGCCTGAACACCCCAGAGCTCAGAGCTCACTCCAGCAGGGGTCAGGCAATTCCACAGGTAAGGGCTAAGCAATGTGAACACCTTGGTATCTGTGAGGTAGAGGCTCTGTCCTAGTCAAGTCTGGGCTTTGGGGTTGGACCTAAGTTCAAATCCCAGTGTTGGACAGGTCAAATCAACTGGCCTCCATGAACTCCTATGAGACAGGGATCATAGTTCTCCTCTCATGAAGTTGTAAGGATTAAATGAGTTGATGCTGTGCAGGAAAGTCTTAGAACAGAACACTGTGTACAGTAAGTGCTTAGAGACTGCTTAAGAGGCAGCGGTCCTGATTATGATCAGAGAGCACAAGTCAAGAATAAGCTCTGTGGTTCATCATACTCAACCCGATCTTGCTCCATCCTACCCCCTCATAGGATAAGGGCATGTGGTAGACTAAGATCCAAACCAGGTCCTGAGGCTATAGGAATCTGTGCCAGAAGACTCATAGAGACTCCAGGCTCCTCTCTCCCCATTTCACAAGAAGGGAAACTGAGACCCAGGAAGAAAAGCGCCTGACCTGCAGAGTATAAAGGGATAGAATTCTGCTCCCTTTAATAAACATCAGAATCTTAGGCCCTGGGAAGATTCTAAACAACCTCCCCTCCCAACCCTGTATGACAGGGAGGGAACTGTCATACAGACCTCATCTGCAAATCCCCAACACATATCAGGCTACCATGACCTCCATGGTGAGCTTCTGTGAGTATCCTCGTTAGCTCTGTGGCTGGCAACCCTGAATATGGCACACACTAGGCACTTTAGAGAGGCTTGAGAAATAACCAAAATGACGTTCTCTAGTTTCATACCTGTGTTCAAGAATGGAGTGGGGAAGCCCTGAGATTTCCCTGTGTATACAGGGGAATCAGGCCAGGCCTGTTAGGGCCCAGCAACATGGATGCCCGGCTGTGTGGGTAGCACTCAGTGAGGCAAGGACATTCCACACCCTGTTTTCTCCCAATTGACCCATCCCTTCACCACCTAGACCAGGCTGGCCTCCCTCTGTAGGCCCCAAGTGCCAACAGAAGCTCTCAGGGCTCCCAGGCTGCCCCACCCTATAGGCTAACATCCTTCCAGGATGTTCTCCTTGGATCTCCCTTCCTCATTCCCATCCCAGCTTCTGCCTCACCCTGCAGCCCGGGTCCAGTCTACTGGGCCTGGCTCCAGGTGATAAAGTTCTGGGCCTCCACAGGCCTGCACAGTGTCAGCGTCTTCCCAGCCAGGCTGGGATGTTCCTGCCCCGCACAGCCAGCCTGACTCCTGGCCAGGATCCACTCTGCAGAGAGGGTGCTAGCCCTCTGCTGCCAGGGCTCCACCCCCACTAGCCTAGGGGGGTGGGGCAGCCTGGGAGCCCTAAGAGCTTCTATGGGCACCTGGGGCCTACAGAGGGAGGCCAGCCTAGTCTAGGTGGTGAAGGGATGGGTCAATCAGGAGACAATGAGGTGTGAAACCTCCTTGCCTCACTGAGTGCTACCCACACATCCAGGCACTCCATGTTGCTGGGCCCCGGCAGGCCTGGCCTGATTCTCCTGTATACACAGGGAAATCTCAGGGCTTCCCCACTCCATTATCTTCTTAAAGTAGCCTCACTGGCCTGCTCTCAGACCAAGTGCATATTTATTTCTTCAGTTGATTCTGCTAATGCCCAAAAGGTCCAGATTATTGACAAAGAGGAACCTGGGGCTCAGAAAGGTGAAGGGACTCATGCAAGGTCACACAGCAAGGATATAGCAGGGCCAGGATTCAAACCCAGTTCTGCTGCATGCAAAGCCTACAGGACACTGACGTCTTCCTCCCTCCCTCTTGGCTCTCTATAGTTTCTAGTTCCCCTTCTTCCCAGACCTTCCACCTCTTTCTGCATTCCCCCTCCCCCATTCCTAGTCAGAGTTAATAATTCCCACCTCACAACTGCTATAACACCTTATTTACATGCATCTGACAGCAGCAAGTACCACAGACTGCAGGGTACAGAAGTTATTTCTGAAGTGTCTGTCTCTGACTCTCAGGAGGTCTTTGATGGCAGGAAGTGGCCTCCCTCCCAACCTGTTCCTTAGACCTGATGGTCTATCACTTCTATCTCCAACTCCCTCACCCCACCCCCACCCCCATGCAAAAGTCTCTTTGGCCTCCTCCCATCAGTCCCCTCCCCACCCCAGGCTCCTGCCAGCACTGCCCTCCAGGTCTGTAACTGGGGTGGAGGTGGGAGCTCACTGAAGGCAGGGGGCAGGGGCTCTGTGCCAGCGCTCTGTGGCCTTTCCCTGGTCTTTCCTTCTCACCTTCAGTAGCTGAAGGGACTCCCAAATGCCCTAAATCCCAGCCAGACTCTCTCGAAGCCTCCTCCAGAAGAAAAGGACCCCAGAGACTGCCTTCCGCCCTAGTGCAGCCACTCCCTCCCAGGGAAAGATATGGGCCCTGGAATAATCTTACCCAACCCAACGCCACAGTCCCCCTCCCGCTTGCGGACAAGTTCGGCGTGGGGTCTGTCTGGACAAGTCCCCACCTCCAACTTGCTGGACTGAAGGGGTCCCTTCCTACACCAAGAGGGTGGGGCCTTCGGGAAAGTGGAGGTGAGGGCGAGACAGCTCTTGGGGAAAGACCGAGGGCAGAGGGAGAGCCTGGGCGAGAGAGATGAGCGACGAGACGGGGAACCGCGGAGGAGAGGAGCAGGAACCCGGGCTGACCCAGAGCCCGGGAGACAGAGGCAGAGGGAAGTGCTCTAGACCCAGCCTGGCAGGGAGTGCGTGGGGCGAGGCGACGACCGCAGGGCCAGCCTGGCGGCAGAGCCGGCGCCCAGCTCGCGAGTCCCCGGGTCCGGAAACTCAGTCAGTTACATAAGGGCCGGCGGGGCGCGGGGCTCCCGGCCCGGCGCCCCCTCCCGCTGCGCAGCCCGCCGCCGGCCAATGCTGCGGCGGCCCGGCAGGAGCATGCGGGGCGGGCGGGCGGGGCGGCCATGGGCTGCGCGGCTCCGCAGGGACCCGCCTGCGGAGACCGAACCTGGGACCCGGACCGCCGGCAGCATGAGTGTAGTTCCGGACCCGAGCTCCTGGACCCCTTCTTCGGACGCCCGAGCCCCTTGTGCACCCCGGACTCCCCTTGTGCGCCCCTTGGACCCCGAGTTCGGACCCTGGAACTCCGGACCTCTAGCCCCTCCCCGGACCCTCGGATCCTGGTCTGGCCCCTCCCGGGAGAGCTCAGGCCCTTGGGGGTGGGTTCGTCTGTCCCTCTCCCTGTCCCTCCCAGAGTCCCGGGGTTGCCCCCCCCAGGTGGTCCACGCTCACCTGGGCTGGACCGGGCGGGGACCTGGCCGGGCCGGGCCGGGCCGCGTTCTCACTCTCCGCTGCCCTCGCCCTTTAAGAGGTTTCTGCCACTTTGCCCCGCCGCGGGCCTCCACCTGCACTGACAGGGCAACTCTGACGTGAGGCCCCGCCCCTGCCCCGGGAGGTCCTCTAATTGGTGCAGGCAACTGCCAATCTGTGGGGCGGCGGGTAGGACCGGGCAGAGGAGGGCGAGCGTC